AATCAAAAAACGGATGTTCTACCAAGGTTGGTTAAGAGTATTTGATAGTTCCTCGATTATCTGACACGGATTTGCTTCAACTTCCGCCCTTAATACGTCATTGTCTAAAGTTGTTGGTTTTCCTGATCGATGTGAGTCGGAAAGATCAAAATTATCGGATCTGAACTTAGAAAACCATCTTTGGCATTTACGAACATCTAAGGCATTTGGGTAAACATCGCAAATGTTTTTGGTAGCAACTGTTGCATTACTACCCTTGTGAAACTCCAAAAGCATGCAATGGCGGATATGAATCTCTTCTGGTATTTGGCTAGTCATTTCACTCAAAATGGCGAAAGAAAATTTAAGGATTAAGTTTTCACAACTAAACAAGTCACTTTAACTTTGAAATGTCTCTGGCACGACTTTCAACTACGCAATGAACTCATAAACGGTAAAGAAGCAGTGACATGCGCAGAAACGACATTACTTTTCGGTCCCCCTAATANCACGACTTTCAACTACGCAATGAACTCATAAACGGTAAAGAAGCAGTGACATGCGCAGAAACGACATTACTTTTCGGTCCCCCTAATATTTGGGCAGGCTTTGCCGCCCCAACGATCAGCGCGGATGGGCACATCCGCGATTTGCAATAGCGTTGCGAAATGATCTCGCGTTATTTCACTTCATTTTCAACGGAGATCAAAATTACCGTCGCGATTTCATTTGGTTCGACATGCAAGAAGCGTCAAAGATAGCGTTGTGAATAAATACGCTCGCGTTCCACAAGTTTGAAAATTTCAAAGATCATCAAAGTCCACTCGCTTTTGCATCTCTGTTCATTGAATTAGCGTCGCGACGACATAATCGCGTTGCAATAGATTACCTTTTGACTTTTCAGGCGCTCATGCTGCAGCTGCAACGAAGGGCCTCGCTGCCCCAACAGCTCGCGACTTGCGACGAACAGAAGTCCGAAAGATTTTGTTCCGTCTTGTAACGGAATTTTCCAACTGTGTCCGCCCGACTTTCTCCGGGACGGACTACCTTTCTTCAATCCCTAAAAAACAGTTTGTTTACCGGGAACCTTCGGTGCAGCGTGGCAAATTAACGGTCCTTCAACGTGCAGTTGACAAAAGTCACGTTCGCCGTCTCCTTTCCGGCAATAAAGTAATTTCTGCAATTTCGGATAACGCACACTTCATCGGCAACAGTTCCTTAATTTATGACAGGGTCGCCAGCACGCATCCCTTCGGTCGCCTTTTCCGGGATTTCTTACTACCTGACACTGGGTACGACCGGGACTCCTAAGGTCCCTTTCCACCTCGCGATCAACCAATGATCTTCAAGTTTTCTCTCGGCGAGAAACATATAAAAACGAGAACTCTTGACCACCTC